AGGACTTGAACACTATAAACTAGTTAGATCTAACAGACATACACAGAACATTTCACCCAACAACAGCAGAATAAACATTCTTCTCATGTGTACATGGAACATTCTCAAGAACAGATAACTCACTAGGCCATGAAACAAGTCCCAGTAAATTTGAAAAGACTGAAATAACACAAATGATCTTCTCTGACCACATCGGAATGCAGTTAGAAATCAGTAACAGAAAGGAAAGTGGAAAATTCCAAGCACGTGGAAGTTAAAGAACACACTCTTAAATAACCAATGAGTCAAAGAAGAAATCACGAAGGAAATTTTGGAAATTCTTGGAAACTATAGAAAATGAAAAACGTATAGGATGCAGTGAATACAGTACTCCAGGGGAATCTTATAGATGTAAATGCCTGCTACACAAAAAAACAATGAAATCAATAACCCAACTTCACACCGTAAGGAACAAGAAAAAGAAGAGAAAACTAAACCCAAAGGCAGTAGAAGTGAGGCTTTGGGTTTAGCTTAAAGGATAAAGACTGGAGTGGAGATACATGAAATAAGAGAATCAGCAAAACAAGCAGGTTCTTTGAAAGGATCAATTAAGTGGACAATTCTTTATGGAGGCTAAGAAAAAAGAGAAGACTCAAATCACTATAATCAGTAGTGAACAAGGGGACATTACTATGGGTTTGGCAGAAATAAGGAAAGGTTCTACAATAAACAACGGCAGTATATTAGAAAACCTATATGAAATGGACAAATACCTAGAAACACACAAATTACCCAAACTGACCCACGAAGAAATAAGAATAGATCTGTAAGAAATAAAGAGACCGAGTCAGTAATCAAAAACATCCCAAGAAAGCAAGCCCAGGAACAGACGGCTTCACAGGTGAATCCCACCAAACATTAAGGAATTAACACTAATCCACTCCAAACTCTTGCAAAAAAGCAGAAGAGGAAGGAACACCTCCGAAGTTATTGGACGTGTGCCCTATTGGATGTGTCCTAAGTTATGAGGATAGCATAATCCTGATTCCAAAGTCAGACAAAGACACCAAAGAAAAAAACTACAGACCAGTATCTTATGAATAGATGCAAATGTCCTCAAGAAAATACTAGCAAATATCACTCATATGCGGAATCTAATTTTTAAAAATGATACAAATGAACTTATTTACAAAACAGAAATGGACTTACAGATATCGGAAACAAATTTATGGTTACCAAAGGGGACACGGGGTGGGGGGATAAATCAGGAGCTTAGGATTAACATACACACACTACTGTATATTAAATAACCAACAAGAACCTACTGTATAGCACAGGGACCACTATTCAATATTCTGTGATAATCTCTATGAGCAAAGAATTTGAAAAAGAGTGTATATGTGTATATGTATAACTGAATCACTCTGCTGTACACCCAAAACTAACACAACATTGTAAATCAGCTATAAATCAATAAAATATTTTTTAAAAAAGAAAGGAAATACTAGCATGCTGAATCCAGCAGCACATTAAAATGATTATACACCATGATCATGCCGGATTTATCTGAGGAATGAGAAGGGTGGTTCCACACACAAAAATCAGTCAATGTAATACACCACATGAATAGAAGGAAGGGAAAAAATACCACATGATCATCTCAATTAATGCAGAAAAAGCATTCGATAAAATTCAGCATCATTTCATGATAAAACATTTTAAAACCAGGAGTAGGGACTTCCCTGGTGGTCCAGTGGTAAAGAATCCGCCTTCCAATGCAGGGGACGCAGGTTCGATCCTTAGTCACGGAACTAATATCCCACATGCTGCGGGTCAGCTAAGCCCGCGCGCCACAACTACTGAGCTCGAGCGCCTCAACTAGAGAGCCTGCGTGCCACAAACTGTAGAGCCCACGCACCCTGGTGCCCAGGCGCCACAACTAGAGAGAAGCCTGCGCACCGCAATGAAGAGCCCACGCACCACAATGAAAGATCCCGCATGCCTCAACGAATATCCCACGTGCCGCAACTAAGAACAGACGCAACCAAAAATTAATAATAATAAATAAATAATAAATCTTAAAAAAAAAAAAGGAATAGAAGGAGAATACCTCAGCAGGCCCCAAGCTAATATCCCAAATACCCAAAGCTAATATAATAATCAGTGATGAAAGACTGAAAATTCTTCCTCTAAAATCTGGAACAAGACAAGGATGTCCATTTTCACCACTTCTATTCAATATTATAGTAAAAGTTCTAGTCAGAGAAAGAAAGAAAAGGCATTCAAATTAGACAGGAAGAAGTAAAACTATCTCTATTTGCAAATGACTTGATGTCATGTGTAGAAAGTCCTAATAAAGAAATCCAGCAAAATTGTCGGACACCAGATCAGTAGTTTTTAACGACTTGTACGTCTATACACTAGCAATGAACAATCTGAGAAGGAAATTTATAAGGTAACCTCACTTACAATAGCATCAAAAATAATAAAATACTTGGGAATAAATTCCATCAAGTCCAAGATCTGTATACCCCAAACCACAAAACCCTCCTGAAAGACGTTAAAGGTGACTTAAATAAATGGAAAGACATCTTGTGAAACTTAATATTGTTAAGATGGCAATATTCCCCAAGCATTCTGTAGATTCAACACAATCCCTACTAAAATCCCAACATTCTTTTTTTGCAGAAATAGAAAAAGTGATCCTAAAATTCATATGGAGTTGCTAGTGAAAAATAAACAGCCGAAACAATCTTAAAAAGAACAGCGTTGGAGGACCCACACCTCTCAATTCCAAAACACACTACACAGCTCCAGTTCTCAAGACATTATGCTTCTGTCATGAGGTCAGACACAGGGATCCTTGGAATAAAATTGAGAGTCCAGATATTAACCATACAACTGGCTTCATCAAGGGTGCCAACACAATTCAATGCGGAAAGGATAGGCCTTTCAACAAATGGTGCTGGGAAATCTGGATATCCACATGCAAAACAATGAAGTTGAACCCTTATCACATACCATATAAAAATTAACTCAAGGGGCTTCCCTGGTGGCGCAGCGGTTTAGAGTCCGTCTGCCGATGTGGGGGACGCAGGTTTGTGCCCTGGTCCGGGAGGATCCCGCGTGCCGCGGAGCGGCTGGGCCCGTGAGCCATGGCCGCTGAGCCTGTGCGTCCGGAGCCTGTGCTCTGCAACGGGAGAGGCCACAACACTGAGAGGCCCGCGTACCGCAAAAAAAAAAAAAAAAAAATTAACTCAAATTGGATCAAAGCCTTAAATCTAAGAGCTGAAACTATAAAACGATTAGAAGGAAACACAGGTGTAAATCTTCATGATCTTGAATTTGGTAATGGCTTCTTACATATGACACTGCAAGCATGAGCATAAAGAAAAAATTAACTGAAACTCATCAGCGTTAAAAACTTTTGTGCATCAAAGGACACAATCAAGAAAGTGAAAAGACAACCTACAGAACGGGAGAAAATATTTGCACATCATGTATCTAATGCTGTCTAGTATCCAGCATACGTAAAGAATTCTTACAACTGAACAACAAAAAGGCATGCAACCCAAGTAAAAAATGGGCAAGGGATTTGAACAGTGACTTCTCCAAAGACAAACGTACATCCAACAAGCACATGGAAAGATGCTCAACATCACTAGCCACTAGGAAAACGCAAATCAAAACCTAAGTAAACTTTCAACTGCTAGGGCCCGGGTTCAGTCCGTTAGGGGAACTGTAATCCCACAAGCCTTCCCACCTGGCAAAAAACAAACAAACACCTCAGTGAGATATTTCACACCAACCAGGATGGGGCTAGTTCTGTTTTTTTTTTGGCTTTTGTTTTTTTAAGAGAAAACAGGTGTTGGCGAGAAACTGGAGAAACTGGAACCCTCATATATTGCTAGTGGGAATGCAAAATAGGCAACCACTGTGGAAAACGGCTTGGCGAGTCCTCAAAAAATTAAACACAGACTCACCACATGACCCAGCAATTCCACTCCTAGGTATACACCCAAAAGAACTGAAAACAGGGAGTCAAACACTTAGGCAAGAAGTGGAAGCAACCTAAACGTCCCTCAACAGATGAATGGATAAGCAAAATGTGACATATAATGGAACATTATTCAGCCGTAAAAGAGAATGAAGTCCTGACACCTGCTACAATGTGCGTGAACCTTGAAAACATTATTCTAAGTGAAAGAAGCCAGATCTCAAAGGCCACGTGTTGTATGGCGGGCGGTTGCCAGGTGGCTGAAGAAGGAGGGCTAGGGAGTGATCACTTAATCATTACTTAATGGGTACCAGGTTTTCCTCCGTGGTGGTGATAATATACTGGAACTTGATAAAGGTGGTGGTGGTACCTTAAATGGTTAGTTTCATGTTATGTGAATTCTTCTTCAATTAAAAACAATTAAGCATAATCTATAGGACCTGTTTTAACTTTCCTCCCTGCGAAAACGAAAAGTGAAAAACAAACGCGACTTACCTTGTTCCTGGGATGGAGACCCTCCAGGGTGACGGTGTCGGCTAAGCCGAAGTGCAGCGTATTCCGAGCCAAGCTCACAGGAGGACCAGCGCGGGATAAAGTAACTTGGAAGCTCGTTTTACCGAATAACCCTACGATAACCCTCAAACTTCTGAGGACGCGCAGCACCGAGTGGGGCCTCTCCTTTCCGGCCACCACGCTCCGCCGGGGCTGCAGACCGGTGGCCACACAGGACGGTCCCCGGAGGACGAAGGGAGCTGGACGGGTTAGGGTTCGAGCTGGACGGTCCGAGCTGGACGGCCGGAGGCGCTCCCTCCCTGGCTGCAGCGCCGCGGCCGGCCGCCGGGGAGCAGTGGTGGCCCGCGCTACGCAGGCCTGGCCGGACCTCCTTCCTGCTCCGACGCCGCTCGGACCTCGCGCGCTCCAAAGCGCCCCGAAGGCCGCGGCCCCACGCCACGCTCCGTGCTAGTACGTCTCGCTGACCACGCCCCCGCGTCCACGGCCAGGCCCCTCACCTGCCCGGCCCTCGATGGCCCCGCCCCCAGCCCGCTCCAGGCCACACCCCATCCGTCCCGCCCCTCGGCCCAGGCCCCGCCCGGCGGCCTGCTTTGCCTTCCAGGGCTCCACCCAGCCGATACCGCCGCTCTCCGGCCCCGCCTCTCTCCGGGCCCCGCCCAGGCCCCGATCCGCCGGCCTCCAGAGCGCAGACACCGCCCCTATGGGGCCGCGCCCTCTCAGGCCCCGCCCCTCAGGTACCTTCTCTCTCAGGCCCCACCCCGCCGGCAGCCGGAGTGCAGAGCCCTGGGACGGAGCTGGAGGCGCGGGTGCTGCGCGCGGCGGGCGGCTTCGGCCGGTCCCGGTGCCTGCTGGCCGCCGCCTCGTGGCTGCCGTGCGTGGCGCTGGGGTTGGCGCTGGGCTCGGAGCTGCTGCTCACCGCGCTGCCCGCAAACCACTGCGGTCCGGACCCCGCGCTCGCCCCCGGCCCCTGCCTGCCGCTGAGCTACCCCGAGCCCGCGCCCCGCGTCCGCCCCAACGGCACGCGGTCCTGCACGCGCGGCTGGCGCTACGCGCTGCCCGCCGCCGGCCTGCTGCGCAGCCCGGTCACCCAGGTCTTCTGCACCTGCCCCTCCGTCCCCCGCCCCGTCCTCTGCTTCCCTGCTCTGTCTCCCCCTCCTTCCGTCCCCCTGCCCTCAGCGCCCTTCCTCTGTTCCCCCTCCTCCAGTCCCGCCTCGGTCTTCGGCCCTTGATCGACCGGGGCTGTGGTACTGGGGCTTTCGACTGCGCGGGGCTCAGCCCCCTCCTGTCTGACGGTGCAGCAGGTGTCCATAGGCAGGGTGCCGGGCCTAAAGGCAGAGTCCGAGGCTGGGTGCTGCCAAGGTGGGCAGGCAGTCCGGGAGGGGGGCGGTAAGCCGAAGGTTTGAGCAGGTAGGTGCCCAGCGGTCAGCAGGGCCTGGAGTTCCCTTCGGTGCCATGAACATTCTAGCAACCTGTGGCTTTGGGCTATGCAGGTGTTCAGGCTGGGCTCCCAAGACTTTGAATCAAGAGAGTGATTGGGTCACTTCCGTTTTTGAAGAGCAGACCTCCTACCTGTAAGGTGTGTGCAGGCTGGCCTAGGGGCAGGGACGCCAAGGACGCGGAGCGGGTAACGGGGCCTCCCTCCCCCTCCTCTGGCTAGGCCAGCCCACCCTGCCTTCCTCTTGGCAGCCTCTGCCCGCAGCCCCACCCCCTGCCCCTGGGAGGAAGGGCCCCCGGTGGAAGCTTGGACAGGGTTGCCACATCCCTGCCGGGCCCACCTGGGGCCCTGAACCAGCTGGGCTTCCTCCTTCTGGCCACCCGTTTGGTGTAGTGATGGATCCTCGCCCACCAGCTTTCACAAGCAGTCGGATTTTAAAATAAAAACTCTGACGTAGTGTGACCCAAAAGGGTGTGTCAAGCTTGAGGAGAAGACACAGAGTAGCCCGGGAAAAGGGCCCTTGGCCGGGAAAAGCCGGTGGGCGTGGCCCTGCAGCCTGTTCCAGGAGTGGCTCTCGAGGTGCACAGGCCAGGGGAAGGGCAGGAGAGGCCCTGGGGCCAGCCTGGCAGCAGAGTGATGGCCGGAGAAAGGCAGGTGCAACCCCGTGCAGAGCAAAGGAGAAACCAGACTTGGGGCTCCATGCGGGTGTCCTGGGGACCCCAGGCCTCTACCACCTGGGGGCTCAGACCAGGAATTGTCCAGTTCCATGTGAAGACCACCAGGGTCAGGAGGCCATGCCGTGTGATCCTGAGTCCTGAGCAAGTAAGTCCCTGGTCTCTCTACCTGTTTCCCCTTGTCTCCAGGGAGGAATCGGAACAGGATACCTAGGGTCCCTTCCAGCGTGATATTCTGGGAACTCCAGCGGGGGTAGGGGTCCTGGCTAGCTGACAGGTGACTGGTATCCCCTACAGTGGAACCTCGTGTGTGAGGACGGCTGCAAGGTGCCCCTGGAGCAGGTGGACTACCTCCTGGGCTGGTTGCTGGGCTGTGTCCTCCTGGGCCCAGGCTGTGACCGGTGAGGCGCTGCCCCTGCCCTTCTGCCCTGGCAGCCCTCCCCTGAGCCCTCCTGACCCAAATCCACGTGTGTCCCCTGCTGCCCACTAGGTTTGGCCGCCGGGCTGTGTTTGTGGGCTCCGGTGCTGGCCACGGGCCTGGGGGCCAGCAAGGCCCTGGCCACTGGCTTTGCCGCCCTACTGGTTTTGCAGCTGCTTCGTGGGGGGGCCTCAGCAGGAGCCTCCCTAGCCTTCTATGTGGCTCATGAGTACTGTGGGGGGCTCTGGGGGCCGCCCACTCAGGCTAGGCCTCTGGCCCGCTGGAGGGCGCCTTTCTGGCACTCCAGTCGAGGGCCCTTCTCCAGAAGGTGGGCGGGGAGCTGTTTGCTCTGTGGGCTCTGCTCTTTGTGGGCAGGCCCGGGTGCCTCAGATGTCCAGGTCCTGGGCAGGCCAGCGACTGATCACCACAGCCCTGGACAGGGCAGCCCTCCCGAGAGGCCTGGGCCCCAGGCCGTCTGTGTCTGCCCAGGCCTGGAGCTGGGTGACGCCCCGCGCTGCCTGGCATTCTCCACGGGGGCGGCCTCTTCTCTGTGGCGGGCATGCTGCCGCTGCCTGGCCTGGCCCTGCTCCTGGAAGACTGGCGCCTGCTGCAGGGGCTGAGCTCCCTGGCCACGGGACTCCTGCTGCTGTTTTGGGGGTGAGTGAGAGGGGTTCACATCCACTGTGGAGGCCACGTGTGTTGCTTCCCTCTGACCTCCATGCAGCAGCAGGAAGATGGGCACGGGCCAGGGACCCAGGGACACAGAGCCATGCACTGTGCTTCGCCACTGGGTCCTTCTCTACCGGGAGGTCCCCTGGCATCCTCACCCCAAACCCGCAGGTCTCCAGCCCTGTTCCCCGAGTCTCCCTGCTGGCTGCTGGCCACAGGGCAGCCGGCCCGAGCCAGGAAGATCTTGCGGCGCTTTGCGGAAGCCAGTGGTGTGGACCACAAAGACAGCTCAGAGGAGGAGAGCTCCCTGGCTACGGGTAATGGACCAGCCAGGGAGAAGGGAGGCCTGGGTGCTGGAGGAGGGAGGAGAGGTGTCATCCCCTCCTTCATGCCCCATTATGTCCCCGGGGCCGCAGAGCCGGACGTGCTGTGTGCAGGGAGCCCCAGCCCCGACACCACTCGGTCCTGGAACTCTGGCATACCCGCGTCGCCTGGAGAAACGGACTCATCCTGGGCTTCAGTTCGTGAGGAGGGGAGGGTGTGGGTGGGAAGGGGAGGGAGGAATCTTGGCCTTCCCCACGGGGTGAGAGTCTGCGGCTCTGGCTGGGCCTGCAGCTTTGCCATGCCTCCCAGGCTGATCGGCAGGGTATCAGAGCCAGCTTCCTGCGCAACCTGGCCACGCGTGACCCCGCCTTCTGTTGGCCCTACTTCCTGGAGGCCAGCCTGGAGGCAGCGGCCGTGGTCTTCCAGCTCCTGACAGCAGATCTCTGGGGGCGCCGCCCAGTCCTGCTGCTGGGCACCTTGGTCCTGGGCCTGGCACCCCTGCTGCTCCTTGCAGGGGCCCAGTGTGAGTGTGGGGCCCTGCAGGCTGGCAGGGTTGTCATGTGTGGCTGGGGGTTTGCCCAGTGGTGGTGGGGATCCCGGAGAGGCAGGCACAGGGCATGAGGCATTCGCATGAGGTTGCTGTTCTCTCCCCACCCACCTCCCCACTCTGCACCCGGGGAAACTGAGGCCCAAAGAGGTGAGGGCCAAAAAGATTCTACGTGAAGGGGCTTAATATAAGGGCTTGGTGTGGCCGGGGGCAGCCTGCAACCCCTGACCCCAAGTGCAGGAGCAGAGGTAGAAGGCTGGGGAGGCCCGGATCCCTGAGACACGGGTGAGGGGAGGGAGGGAGTGTGGGCAGCGTGGGGCCTCTCCTCCTCCCCAGACCTGCCTGGCTGGACGCTGCTGCCCATCTCTGTCCTGGGGCTCCTGGCCTCCCAGGCAGTGTCCGCCCTCAGCAGCCTCTTTTCAGCCAAGGTCTTCCCCATGGTGAGCAGGTGAGAAGAGTGCAGGGTTGGAGGGCAGGGCGCTGCCTGTGCGCCCCGCGCTCCCCACACCCCAGGTCCATGCCATCGGGACCAGAGTTCAGGTGTCTCTTCCTGGGTGGCGAGGGGGACAATGGCCGCAGAAGGGTCTGCACATCAGCTCATGAGTGGAGCGGTGGGTGGTCGGAAGTGATAGCCCCCAGGCAGGGTCGGATTCCAGGGCAAAAATGGACTTTCAGTTTCCTAATGGAAAGGACAGCGCTCGATCCAGGGCAGCTTCCCCCCCCCCCCCGACTCTGCAGGTGTCTTCCTGGGGCCTGCTAAGGGCCATCCACCCCAGGAGCGCTGGGTGCCCCGCTGGGCCGTGTCCCACCGCCCCCTCTTGCAGGGGTGCCGGGCTGGGCCTGGTGCTGGGAGCTGGGTTCCTGGGCCAGGTGGCCGCCCCGCTCACCGACACGCGTGGCAGCATGGCTTCTTTCTGCAACACGTGGCCTTCCCGTCCTTGGCCGTCCTCGCCCTGCTGCGCGTCCTGCTGCTGCCCGAGAGCTGTGGCCACGCACTGCCCCCGTCGCTGCAGGACGCCGACCGCCTGCGCCGCTCCCCGCTCCTCTGGGGCCACCCCCGCCAGGACCACCTGCCCCTGCTGCCAGCCTCCCTCCCCAGGGCCGGGACACAGCTGGTCCGGGAGGGGTGACCAGGCTGCAGAGACACGCCACCCGCCAGTACGGGCAGACGGGTCTCGGGAAGGAACGGGAGGGTGGTGGGAAGTGGGCCTCTTTGCCGGGGGCCCTGGTTCCCCCTCCACGTGGGGAGCATAAAGGCGTCCGTGGAACTTGGCGCCCTCGCTGGTTCTTCCCTCAGGCCGCACCAGTGGCTGAAGGGGGCTTCTGGTGTCCACCTCCCCCTCACAACCAGGCATCCGCAACCTCTCCAACTGCCCCCACCCCCTCGGGGGCCAGCCCACTGCTGCGGCTCTGGTGAGACTGAGGTGCAGAAAGGCCCTGCAAGTCGCCGTGCCAACCGTGCGTTGGAGAGATGAGCACGTTTTTAATTCACGTTTGCCCGAGAGCTGCTTCCTTTCATACAGAGATGAGATCAGCGTGGGTGGGAAGCAGAGCTGGGAATGGGGCCTCTGACCCCATTGGAGGCAACTGACGGGGCAGGAGGGGCGCCTCCTTCTGGCCACTCCACTCTAGGCTTTGGACCCTTACTTCCCCTGGCTGAGACGGGGCAGGGTGGGGCGCAGGGCCCTCTGTCCATCTCGACACACAGCCGAGTCCGGCGTGTCCGCTCAAGCGCCTGTGGTCTGCCCTGTGTCCGGGAGGCTGTGCCCTCAGCAGGGTGGGTGCAGGTCCCCATCAGAAAGCCTCTTCCCTGGTGCCCTCACGGGGCCCGTACAAGTCGGCCAGCCGGGCAAAGCGGGGCCCCCAGTCCCAGAGGCAGCTGTAGTCTGCGTCCTCATCACCCAGGCTGGACAGGATGGAGCTCAGCGTGCCTGCCACGGATCCGTCCCCCTCGTAGTCATAGATGAGAGCCGTGTCGTAGGGAGGGACGGCGGGGTCGCTGTCCACGGCCTCTAAGCCCTGTGGAGAGGCCTGGGGCTCAGGACCAGCACGCACCGGCCAAGCGCCCTCCGCCACCAGCTCGGCCAAGGCCTGGCCCCAGGAGCCGGGTTGGGGGCAAGGTTCTCTCTGGGCGATTCTCCTTCCTCGGCAAGAACCACCACCCCTGTCCAGCCCCAGAGCGATGCCTCAGGCTCGTGGGGTGGGGAAACGGGGTGCAGGGCGCCCCTGGGGCACCCACCTCGTTGATGAAGTCAGCGATGTCAGAGGGGCTGGTGGGCAGCACGCGGGGGGCCTGGGGGTGCGATCGGCCGAACGGGGCGTCTCTGCGCAGAGAAGGCCGTCCCAGCGGGGCGCCCAGGGCCGCCAGCTCTGCCGGGTGGCGCAGCTGGTCCATGTCATAGGCATCCTGAGAAGGGACGGACAGAGCGCGTGGGGGTGAGGGTCGGGAGGCGGCTGGCCAGCTGGGGCCCCTGGGGAGACCCCCCAGCACTTGTAAGCCACCCCGGCCCCCTCACCTGGTCCTCCTCCCCGCCCCCCTGCTCGTCGTAGTTGAGGATGTTGTCCCGAAGGTCGTCCTGCAGCCCGTGCAAAAGCCTCTTGTCACACGACTGCTGCCGGCACCGCACCAGGAGGGCCACCAGCAGGGCGAGCACTGGGGGTGGGGGGGCAGCGGAGGTCGGTGTGGGGTGGGGGCGGGGCAAGGCGGGCAGGGCGGGGCTGCCAGGCGGCGCGGGGCGGGGCAGGGATCTGCAGGCGTGGGCACTCACAGAGCAGCAGGATGACACTGGCCAGCACGATGACCAGGGCGCCCAGGCTGATGCCCGCGCCACCCGCCCGCAGCGCAGCGGCCCCCGGCAGGCAGGCGCCGTCCAGGCCGCAGCGGCACACGGTCACGTTCAGGGGCTGCTCGCGCTGCTGGGGCGGCTGTCCCGAGTCCTGGAGCAGCAGGCTCAGACGGTGCAGCCCCTCCTGGACCTGGAGCCTGGGCCGCAGGCGCGCGTGGCTCACTGCAGGGGGTGCCGGCGGTCAGCAGGGGCAGGGGGCGGCCACGCCCCTCTGCGCCTGTGCTTCCGGCGGCAGCCGGCCTGGGTTCCCCACCTGTCCCGTGTGTGTGATAACTGATCCCTGCGGGCCTGAGGATGCAGCGCACTGAGGTGGGAACCAGTGGGGACCTGCCCCAGGCTCTGGACCCCCAGGGACGTGGGGCGAGCTCACCGTTAACCTGGCTGAGGCTCCAGTTCCGGGCCAGCTCTGGGAGCCTGGGGCTCAGCTGGAAGTGGAAGGGGGCCCCGTGGGGGGGCAGGTCCTCATCCGTGGCCCCCAAGAGAAGACCGGAGCCCTGCTCTGGTGTGCTGCACAGGCTGCCCCACGGCGGGGACAGTTCAGGGGCGTGGTCGTTGACCTCCAGGATCTCAACAGACAGGGTCCCTGTGGCCGTGCTGGGTGGGGAGGCTGCAAGCAGGAGAGGCCTGGTGGGCCCTTGCCCCTGCAGAGCCCCCACCCACCCCTTAAGTCTGCTCGGTGGAGCACCCGCTCTCAGCCCTTGGGCAGCAGCAGGGGCCCCAGCCAGGGTCAGGGAGCCCTGGAACCCAGGCCGAGCTCCACGCTCACCATCATCTCGGGCCAGGATGATGGCCCTGTACCAGCCGTCCTTGAGGAAGGGGGATGCGGGGCTGAGCACGCGCTGGGTCTGGACCCGGCCAGTGGCCCCGTCCACTTGCAGCCAGTCTTCAGGGTCATAGTCCTTGGAGTAGCTGTTGGCGAGGAGGGGAGGAGGGGCCCTGAGCCTGAGCCGGACCCCCGGAGGTGTGGTCACGTGTAGACGTGCACACACGCACACATACGCAGGCCTTTAAGGATAGTCCTTCCACAGCCCTAAGCTGGTATTTTCCATCCCAATCAACAGATGAAAAAACTGAGGCTCGGGGAGGGCAGGTGAGCTGCCCAGGGCCCCGTGGCCACTGAGTGACAGCTAGGATTCAACGGTGGGCACCATGTTGACAGACAAGGGTACATAGGGCCAGGGCAGGGGGTGAAATCCGAGACAGTAACAGCCAGTCCTAGTGGAGTAACGGCTCCCTGGAACGGACAGGGCCGGACACTCAGAGGCTAGCCAACACAGACGGGCCGTGTCAGCGTGCGCCAGATGCAGCCCAGTCCTGCCTACAGGACGAGGTCACGTGAACACGCACGCGCACGCACGAACGCACGCACGCACGGTACTTGAGAGCCCCTGGGCTCTCGGTGACGCACACAGATGAGCCCTCTGCCCTCCGACCAGGGCCCTAATGGGAACCCTCAGGGCATAGGGCTCAGTACCCTTAGCTGTGCTGCTACCCTGGCTGGGAGGTGGACTGGGGCTGTGAGTTCCCCCTGCTCACCCCGGGGCCCCCACCTGAGCCTCTGCGGCTGCTGTGTGTCAGGGTCTCGGGCAGAGAAGGTGGCCACGGGGGTTCCTGGGGCCGCCCCCTCGGCCAGGCTGGTCCGCAGTGGGTTCTGCTGGAACACGGGCGCCTCGTTGACATCCCGCACCTGCACGCTGACCCTGGCCTGGCCCCGCTCGGCCCTGGGGGCCGCCGCCTGCAGGGGAGCCTCGTTCTGCGCCGCCACTTTGAGGTCGTAGTGCTCCCGACTCTCGTAGTCCAGCGGCTGCAGGGGAAGCGGGGCGGCCGCCCGTCAGGACTCCGGCCCCCTCCCCCCATTCAGGGAAGCCTGAGGCAGCTGCGGCCGGAGAGGCCTCTTCTGCTCTGTCCTCAGAGCCCCTTCTTTCCTTCTGCTTTTTAGCCTCGGAAAAACAAAAATCATGCAGGACAAAAAGGCACAAAAAATAATGCCAAAATGACGGCTACTCATCACGCAAATGTATTTGCTGGGTGTTGTGAGGCCAGTTTCCCGTCCCCTGGCCGGGCGTCCTCCTCGGTGCCCCAAGCAGACACTCGCCTGGGTCTTGCTAAGAGGGTATTTGGTGGACATGGTTGAACTGACCTGTCCAATCAGCTGACTTTAAATAAAGAAGACGGTCCTGGAGAACCTGGGTGGGTCTCATCTGTGGGTGAGAGTCTCTGAGAGCAGACCTGAGGCTGCCCTGGGGAAGAAGGGCTCCCACCTCCAGATGCAGCCTCAGGTCCTGACTCTGCAGCCTGTCGCAGCCCCACAGACTCCGGACTTGCCAGCCGCCTGCACGACGGCCGGCGTGAGCCAGTCTCTGGCAATAAGGCTCTTCCTGTGTTGACAGCTCATCTGCATCTCTATGCACGTGTGTGCACGTGTGTATGCTCAGGTGTGTGCGTGCACCTGTGTGCGTGCACACGTATGTGTGCACACGTATGTCCTGCTGGGTTTGTCTCTGGTCTCAGTTTGGCCAACATGTGAGGTCTGTATTTGTGCGTGTTGATCATGTACTTCAAGTGGCAAGACACTGGAAGTAACGTGGGCTTGCCCCCTCCTTCCAGCCCTGTCCCCCTGTGGTCAGCGTGGCCCAAGCCCACAGTCCTAGCGTTCTTGGTCCCCTTCGCTCCCTTCCTAAGGATGCACAGAGGGTCCAAACGGGGTCCCAGGGTGTGAGGAGAGGCACCCTCCTCAGCTCACCTTCACCACAGACAGCACACCCTCGTTGGTCCTGGGGTCGGTGCGGATGGCGAACTGCCCGTCAGGGTCGCCCTCCAGGATGGTGAACCTGGCCACCCAGTTGGGGGAGCCGGGCAGGTCCCGGTCCTCTACCTCCAGCCGCCCCACGTCCACTCCGCTGACGGCCTCTGTGGCCTCCAGGAAGAACTGTGGGAACTCGGCCCCGTTACCCACGGGTGGGCCAGGGACGGTCCCCTGCGGGGTCACCCTCCCACTGCCCACCCACGAGGAGTCCAGGGCACCAGGAGCCCCCTCCCAGTCTCGGCCATGTGCTGGGCACATCCTCCCCAGAGGGCAGGGCTGCCGCTCGCTCCCACCCAGGAAGGCTTGGGGACAGGTCCCACCCCAGGGTCTTCGTGGCTTCCCCCCACGGCCCTCTAGCTCCTGACATGCTCACAGCCCCCCCCCCCCGATGCTGGCCTCTGGCAGGGTATCCTGCATGGTCCACACAGGATGCCTCCTCTGTGGAGCACCGAGCCTCCCACCCACCAGAAGCCCCAGGATCGGGGGGAGGTCAGCCCTGAGCAGCGGTCGGTGGAGGTGAGGACGGTGGCAGCACCTGAGCCCTGGTGAACTCGGGGGCGTTGTCGTTGACATCCTCCAGGGTGATGACGGCCAAGGCAGTGGCGGTGAGGCCGTCTCCAGACATGTCCGCCACCTGCAGGGTCAGGTTGTACACGGCGACCGCCTAGGAGCACAGTGACATGGGGTCAGGAGACCCAGGTGGCGCGCAGGGCGGGGCTGGTCAGCCACCTTAGGGCCTGGGGGCAGGGCCGGCAGACCCCAGGAGGCTCCGGCATCTGCCCTGCTCCCAAGCTCTGGGGCAACAGGCTGCCGAGCCTCTCCGGGTCCGACGGCACCACTGTCGACCCCAGACTCTGCCCCAGCCTGTGAGTGGGCAAGAGGACGGTTGCCGAGCCGGATGAGCACTCACGGGGCACCTGCTGCACTGGGGTGTGGGGTCCCTGCCCTGGGGAGCCAGGTGCGGCTGCCGAGAGAGGGGACAGAGATCAACTAACGCAGTGAGTGGCCCTGGGGAAACCAAGGAGGGCTTCCTGGAGGTGAGGTGCCAATGCCACACAGAAGCCCGGCAGCCAGGGGCCGCAGGGGCCCCACAGGGGAAGAGTGGGCACGGCCGGCTGGAGGGCGACTGTTTCTCTGCAGCATGCGTGGTCGCTGTGGGCCCATCCCAGGCCGAGGAGCCCTACTGCTCTGCAGGCAACAGGGTGGGGGAGGTCTCCGGCAGAAAAACACGCTAAGGGCCCCTCACACCATCTCTGGACCGAACCACACAACTACCCGCGGGGCAGGTCTGCCGGAGCCCAGGGCCACGGACAGTGTCCGCGGCACTCGGACCGCTCTTCTGGGGGGCTGCCCTGCCTCAGCTGTCAAGGTGCAGCTGCATGGCCTCACCTCGCGGTCCAGGCCCACTTGAACCGTGCGGATCTCCCCCGTGTGCGGGTCAATGCTGAAGAGCTGAGGGCCGCCCTGCTCCAGAATGGAGTATCGCAGGGCCGCGTTGTCCGTCTCCGGGTCGTCCGCATCCGTGGCCTCAGCCCTGGTCACGTAGGTTCCTGGGAAGGGAGGGGACATGTGGGGGTGACACCCATGGTTGCCAGGGCGCGCTGCCCACTCCCCCGCGGCCCGCCGCACCGGGTCCAGGCCCCCGATCAGCCTTGAACGTGCAAGCATCCCGGCATCCTGGCTTGCGTCGCTTGTGGGGATGAGGTCGGGTGTCCGATACACACTGCTGACACCTGTCTCCTACAGAACCCTGAGACAGACCAGGCGAGCCCGCTGGGGAACCAGCCCCAGGCGGGGCGAGGCAGCGCCCAGGGCCGCACCTGCGCTCTGGGGCAAACCAGGCCCTGGATCTCAGGAGAGAAGGGCCTCTGCAGGGGTCCTGGAGGTGCCCCAGCACCTGTGCCCACCTGTTCTCTGGAGCAATTCAGGTCTGACCACCCCTCCCCACACCGGCCCAGATCAGGTGTACTCAAAGTTATCCCGGTGAGGTGGACCAGCCTCGGGCCACCCGAGGAGCTAGCCCCCCCTCACCTGTGACTGGGCTCATCCCAGCCCCTCCTGGGCCCTGACGGGTCAGCTGAGTGTCATGCTGGTGTCTGATGAACGGTAGTGACCCGGCCACTGACCCAGCCTTAGAAGGTGGGAAGCTACCTTAGCAGGTAACTCCTGGCATGATGCTGGACCCCAGGCTAAAGCCAAAAACAATGTTTAGAATAGGCACCCTGCCACCGGGATGCAGACACGCGCTTCCAAAGGCACCGGTCGGGCTCTCTGTGACTGAGCAAGTGCGCAAACTCCTGGGGTGACTGGAGCCCAGCTTGCTCGCCAACAGAGAAGAGGACCCAAAAGGAACCCTGCAGAGCTGGATCAGAAGTGGAGGTGCCAGAGAGGACTCGCGACTTGTGATGAAGGCACAGAGCCGTGTTAACACAGCTGTGACAGTGCGTGCACACACGCACGTCTGTAAGTATGTGAGCTTACTTCCCAGCCCCGGCTGCTGAAGGGGCCTGGGCCGGTTTGATGAGCTTCTGATCAGCCAGGATTTGAGCTTCAAAACAACGGTGCAAAGCAGCACAAGCCACTGAGTGAAGCAAGAATCCACAAATCCAGACACATCCGTGTGAACAAAACACGTACGAGACAGGCGGGGACCCGGGACCCTTTGCTGCAGGGCTTGCGCCTGGACACAGGTCTCCTCAAGCCACAGAATACAGAGGAACTACAAGGGACTAAAAATAACTACGTACGTGGCAGTTCGCGCCAATTCTGGACGACATACAAAGAGACTAAAAAGCCCAACGGCCACTTCTGAAGAGCAAACACCGGCCGGGAGCAGAAGCAGGGTACCTGTGCGCGCCCCGCGCACACACCACCACCTAAGGTGGTGTCTTTCCCGGCACCGTTTGCTGAGGAGACCGCCCTCTCCACGTTGAATGGTCCTGGCGTCCTGTGTAAAGTCACCTGCCCGTGATGTGAGGTTTATTCCTGGGCTCTCTATTCAGTTCCATCGGTCTATGGTCTGTGTGTCTGTCTTGAAGGCAGGTGCACACTGATTACTGTACCTTTGCAGAAAGTTTTGAAATCAGGAAGTGTGTCCCCCAGCTTTGTTCTTTTCCAGGATGGTTTTGGCTATTCAGGGTTCCTTGAGATCTTATAGGAATTTTAGAATGAGTTTTCTGTTTACGGCAAACCCCCTAAGCCACCCCTCCGCAGCCTGACCCCCCGGACACACCCCTGACCCCTGAACACACCCCATATAAGGAACAAGCTCGCCCCCCCTCAGGGAGCAAGCTAGCAAGGGAACCACTCCCCACCGCTGCAGCGGGGGCCCCAATAAAGCCTTGCCTGAATTTCTTGTCTGGCCTTTGATCAATTTCTATTGATTAAAGAGGCCAAGAACCCTGGTGGGTAACACATACACACATATTCATATACAGGGGTACTGAAGTCCTATCATACAATAGAGAGCCAAGTGATGAGCAAGAAGAAACAATGAAGAAACAACAGCTGACGCAGGCAAGAGCCGCCAGAGATGCTAACGGCTGGGCGGCAGCTTGAGGGGCAGCAGGACACCTGCACAGTCTCAAAGGGTCTCCCACAAGACACCTATTAATTACAAAGGGGAAAGGAGAAAAGCCAGAGCGAAGAAGCTTGGCGGACACCCCCTGAACTACACACCCAAATCGGCATCTCCAGGAACGGGATGTGCACGCCTCCTGAGGGGCTCCAGCCACGCAGACTCACGCAGAGACAATCATCACAACAACCGCCTAAATGCCTCAGGATGTCAGTGTCGTGGGCAAGGAGGTGAAAGCTTTCGCAATGAAAACTACAAAAGATCAGTGAAAGAAACTGAGAAAACACAAATAAACGGACAGACAGAAGACTTGTTGCTAAGACGTCACTACCACCCAGAGCGACCTACAGATGCAGTGCGATCCCTACCAAAATCTTAAGGACAGTTTCTTTACATAAATACAAAACTCATTCTAAAATTCCTATAAGATCTCAAGGGACCCTGAATAGCCTAAACCATCCTGGAAAAGAACAAAGCCGGGGGACACACTTCCTGTTTTCAAAACTTTCTGCAAAAGTAATGAGTGTGCACCTGCCCTCAAGACAGACTCAGAGACCGATGGAACCGAATAGAGAGCCCAGGATAAACCTCACATCCACGGGCAGGTGATTTCACACAGGACGCCAGGACCATTCAGCGTGGAGAGGGCGGTCTCCTCAGCAAATGGTGCCGGGAAAGACATCCACAGGCGGAAGGATGGAGCTGGACCCGTAATTACTTAACAGCATATGCAAAAGTCAACTCAAAATGGATGAGACCTAAGTGTACAACGTAAAACTAAAACTCTCAGAAGAAAACATAGGACACTGGTAATGTCACGAAGGCAATGATTTCTTGGATATGACACCAAAGGCACAGGCAACAACAACAAAAATAGACAAACCGGACTTCACGAACATTTAAAAATGCATCAAAAGACACTATCGACACAGTAAAAAGACAACCCACGAAATAGGAGAAAATATTTGCAAATCATATATCTGATAAGCGATTAATATCCAGGATATACAGAGAACCCGTAAAACTCAACCAGAAAAAAAAACCAACAAGCAACTCAATTCAAAAATGGGCAAAGGGACTTGAACAGGCCTTTCTCCAAAGAAGATACACAAATGGTCAATATGCACGTGAACAAACGCTCAACATGACTAATCATTAGGGGAAATGCAGATGAGAAGCACGAGACAGCCCCTCACACCCATTAGGATGGCTGCTAACAGCAACAGAACAAAACAAAACAAAAAGCAACAGGCGCTGGTGACGATGTGGAGAAACTGGGACCCTCCTACACTGTTGGTGGGGATGGAAAATGGTGCGGCCACTGTGGAAAACACCATGGAGGATCCACAAAAAATTAAAAATACGGCTTCCCTGGTGGCGCAGTGGTTGGGAGTCCGCCTGCCGATGCAGGGGACACGGGTTCGTGCCCCGGTCCGGGAAGATCCCACATGCCGCAGAGCAACTAAACCCGTGCGCCACAACTACTGAGCCCACGAGCCACAACTACTGAAGCCCGCACACCTAGAGTCCACGCTCCACAACAAGAGAAGCCACCGCAATGAGAAGCCCGCGCACTACAACGAAGAGTAGCCCCCGCTCACCACAACTAGGGAAAGCCCGCTCGCAGCAACGAGGACCCAACACAGCCAAAAATAAATAAATTTATTTAAAACAATTAAAAATAGAACTACCATTTGATCTACCAGCCCCACTTCTGGGTACATACCCAAAGGAACTGAAAGCAGGGTCTCAAAGACATATTTGGACACCCACGTTCACTGCGGCACTATTCACCACAGCTAAAAAGCAATCCAAGGGTCCACTGAAGAATGAACAGATAAACGAAATGTGGTATAAACATCCAGTAGAGTATTATTCAGCCTTGAAAAGGAAGGTGATTCTGACACGGGCTACCACACTGACGAGCCCTGAGGACAGGATGGTCAGTGAAATCAGCCAGACCCAGGAGGACAAGTACTGTACGATTCCACTTACGCGCAGACAAATCATAGAGACAAAAGCAGACAGTGAGTGGCAGGCACTGGAGGGGGAAATGGGGAGTTAGCGTTTAATGGGGACAGAGTTCCAGTCTGGGAAAATGAGAAAATTCTACGGACGCCGGTGGTGGTTGCACAACGATGTGAACGGGCCTAAGACCACCGACCCGCACACTTAGAAATGGTTAAGACGCTAAACCTTGTTGTATGTATTCTGCCACAATAAAATTTGGCAGAACAGAAGTCAGTGTCGTGAGCTCCTGGCGGCTGAGGACCCGTCCCCAGTGAGGGGGCGTGAGCGGGCGGGGGCCTCAGTCCTGCCACCACGACGAGAACGGAGGGGAAGATCACACCTGTGTGAGCCCGTCAGACGGTGACGCACAGGCGACCTGACACCCCCGAGTCCAGGCTGTGACCCCCCAGGAGGTGCACACGCTGGGGCTCCCCTGGTGGGGCAGGTGCAGCGACCCCACAGAAGCAGGAAGAGGGGCCGAGATTGGCACAGCTGCTGGCGGTCCCTGGGTGCCCACACGGGGGCCTGTGCCCTCTCCCACGTGCCCACTGACTGCTCCCAGGGAAGGCGGGGTGGGAGGAGACCTGGGAGGGCCGCTCGGCTCAGGCCACAGGGCGGCCCAGGTGTGGGGAAGGCCATCGGTGGTCCACAGTCACAGAGTGAGGGTGGGGCTGCTGGGCTGGAGGGACGGCGCTTTGCCTTTGGGGGAGGAGCAGGGACCCTGAAGCAGCCCCAGCCCTGGGGCTCAGGGACCACCTTCGACCGAGACTGCCCACCCCCCAGTACCCCAGGAGCCCTGCCAGGTAGCACACAGGGGCTGTCACCCCGCTAGGGGCCCCTCTGCATGCAGGGCTGCGCTGCCGTGGCGGGAACGCAGAGAGGCCCCCGGGATCTGAGCTCAAGCAGTGGCAGAGGCTAGGCCCGTCTCCTCTCCCCACCGTGGGCTGGCCCCCACCTCTGCTGTGCTCTTACACACAGGGAAAGAGGGGAAAATTCCACCCTAGTGATTAAACAGCCAACAGAACCAGATGTACGGCCAACCAGACACTTGGGCTTTTATCTGACAGAACTGAAGCAGCCACCCTCCGCGTGCAAAAGGCCCTAAAGGAAAAGGTGGACGGCATGCAGGAGCAGACAAGGCTCAG